AATCCAAAAGCTAGAACCGGACATGAATTGCATGTGTGTGTGTGTGTGTGTGTGTGTGTGTGTGTGTGTGTGTGTGTGTGTGTGTGTGTGTCTGTGTCTGTGTCTGTGTCTGTGTGTGTGTGTCTGTGTGTGTTGAGAACATATATCAAATATTACATGTTCTCTGTATGTATCTCAAATATGTCAAACTCTTATCAGTGTTTCTAAATCAAAGCCATGATGAAATTCAAGTTGCAAAACAATACTGTCCTGTCAAAACAATGCTGTGCAATACCCAGTATTGTAAGACATCCTAGTATGTCATGTTCATTGGAGGAAGGAAGATTGGTATATATTAACAACCCTGCAGAGTATTTTGGTGGTTCTCTCTTTAAAAAAGCCACAGACTTGCGGCAGAGGCAATGCCAACCCAGCCCTTTCCTGAGTTTATGTCTCTTGTACACTATGAAGATAGGTTAATTCAGCATAACTAAGTTAAACAAGACGTGCAGCGGAAGCTACTAAACTAAGGAACCAATGCTACGAAAAAAGGAACCCTCAATTAGTGAAGCTGTCAAGTTTATGAAAAGGCGTTGTTAGGGGGGAGGGGGGAGGAGAGAGATCGATTCAATTGTAAAGATGCCCCTCAGTGTTTCTGTGCTAGGCACCTCGAGGCTCATCGCATTTAGCCTGTCACTCAAGCCACAAGGCAAGGGACAGTACCCAGCTCTACAGGACTGAGCAATACTTTCGGGGACAGGTGCACAATTCTCCCAGTCTCGTCGAAAGTCCCTAGAGAACATTGTGGCTTTCGCTAAGCCGAAGAATATTTTTTTAAAAACAAAAATCAAATCGTTCTGTTTCCCCTGCTCGCCACTCCGGATTCTTTGCTAGCAATGCCCCGGATACCTGAGCCCCAATTCAGTCCTACGGAGCCGGCAGCCAACCGCTGTCCAAAGCGCCTTGTCCGAGCCGAGTCCTGCTTTTGGAGAAGGTGGGTCCTGCTCGCCCCCTCTCCCCTCCCCCGTCGCTCCTTCGCAAAAAAAAGCTCCCGAGGAGGTAAGTGGGGCGTCTCCGCTCTCAGCGGGTTTCGCAAACCACCGACTTGGTTTTATATCCCGTTCTCTTCCGCGTTCTCTCGGCCTTAGCCGTGGGTGCGGTCTTTTGCCACAATCGCTAAGAGCAAACCCTTAAAAACCCCTCAGGAGGAGGAAAAAGAGGAAGGGGGCGGTGGTATATTTCCGAATACACGTGATTCTATTTAATAAAAACCCGCACGATCCGGTTTGTTGCGATACGAGTAACCCCCCCTTGCTTATTAAGGACTAGGGTCCATTAAGTAAGACGCTTCAAGAGTTTGGGCAGTGGCCTGTTTCAGGCTATCGCCCAATGTTTACTTAACAGCAGTTGCGGGGGAGATTTCTGAATGCACAAGGCTATAAATACTATTATCCTAACCGGGCATTCGGGAAAAGTAGTGGAAGGAACAGGGCACGGCCGGTAATCTTGGTTACGACCGGGCCCTCCCTTGGGTTATTTTAAAGAGATGACTCAGCCATACTTACAGTGACGATCTGCGAATGACAGCGATCGCGGATTCGTGCGTCTGAAACCCGAAAGAAAACGGGGGCGAGAAGCCGCGGCGGCGGCTAATCGAAAGCCGCGGGTGGCGGTAAGAAAAGCTGCAGCCGGGTCTTGGGAAACCGAGTTTGACGGCGAGCGCCGGAAAAGAAGTAACTCTCGATCAAACGCTTTGCTTCACGGGAAGTTTTGTTTGGATGTCCTCTGGGTGGCAGAAAGCGAAACCCAAGTTAAAGTTGCAGGAATGGGGCATTGGTGGAAACCTTCCGTTTTCCTCAGCTAAGCAGACCTAAGCAGATTCCTCTGAGGTGGGACACACACACACACACACACACAAACACTGAGAGAAAACTTTAATTGGCCATCCCATTCAAAAGGATCTACTTAGACCTGGATAGAAAGGAGGATGCTCCACGTGTTTGTTTCTGTGTTTGGTGATCAGAAAAATCTGCTTAGCTGAGGAAAACGGAAGGTTTCCACCAACGCCCAATAAAATTTATTGGCTGTCCATCTTACCACAGTTACATCTAAGGTAAAACATAAAAAGTTTAAAACAAACATTGAAACCAAAGGTGCATTGGGGGGAGGAGGAAGGCAGAGTATGTGGGTGTGAGGTGGGGGAGATGGGTTCTTTCATTAATCAACTATCTTTGTTTCCTACTGGTGTCCCAAGCTGACTGCCAAAGCTAAGGTGACCAGATTTTCAGATTGGTAAAGAGGGACACCATTGACCCCGGGGTGGGGGGGGCTTGATTAAAAAATTTATATTTTGTCAAAAGGTCACACAAGGCGATTATATGACCCCAGGA